ATCTGGGTCGTCACAGTGCAAGGACGGAGAACATCACTGTTCCACCGGAGCCACCAAAATTGTTATAAATCTTTCTGGATGACCATCAAAATACTGCAGTTTCATCAGAAGTAAGATGATTGAAGAATCAGGAGACCAAGAGCCAGGTTATAATAAAAGAGATGGTTTATTGCGTGCATGAAGACAATCTGGGCATTCTATAGTCTAAACAAAAATTGGACACAGTTGGCTTTTATACTGATGTGTGCATACAAAAGGACCATATAGATAATGCTCAAGGCAAAGGCAGAAGAAAAAACATGAGCAAGGACAGAACATCGTGACCCAAGGAACAGACACGTGTAAATCATAAGTGAACAAACACAGTTACAGAAATCATATTAAACTGAATTTATCTTAAAATGAATAAATCACGTATCCATTAACAAATAATCATGGAAAAATAGAAAATAATCCCACATGATAAGTAATAAAGTTTGCAATGTCTGCATCACCCTAGCCATAATAGCCACAGTGCGCTGGAAGAATGGCTGCTATTGAATAGTAACCTGTTGCTAGAAAAGACAAATAAAGTTTTTATAAAGTAATTTATAACATTTTATTGCTTAAAAAACCCAAATCTCTACCCAGATCTCCACTAGGAGCACTCTATGACTGACACAAATACACAGATTTCAAACATCTGGTCACTGTGAGTTCTAAATTAGTTACAGATTATTAGAAATGTTAAATAAATCCTGAAATCTGAAAATGTCTTTTAGGTGAACAGTTTTATATAGTGGCCCAAATGACAAAATAATGGTGCACTTAGGCCTACCAATTTGCAGTTTTGTATTTTTTTAGCAATTATTTGTACTTGGCAATTAGTTGTTGTCCACTGAGACTATGGATGATGTTAAATACAATCCCCATGCCATGAACATGGGGCTTGTTCATATCAACTATGAAACAGTGTGTAGACTTTGCTTCCAATTGTCACAATTTTTTGCACAAGTGGAACCAGTGGAGTCATGTTGTACACCATATATACAGTCAGCTCATATATGATTTCTCACTGTATGTGTATGGAAGATTCTGCATCAGTGAAAAAACATGATTAATACATAATACACAAACTATTGCTTTTCATTAGTGGCATGCAGAAAACGTTACACACCGAAAAGCAAAACCTTCCATGTATTGCTCTTATGTCGCTTAATCTTTTCAGTGAAAAACAATCAGCTGGGGAATGCTTCTTTAAGAAATAAATGCTAATTCACATCTGAAGTAAATAGAATTCCCCACTGCATTGTATTTCAGTTTCATCAGCATGCTGCAGTTGTTTCACAATGAAATGCAATCACTGTCCAATCACAACCCTAATCTGTACATGCATGGTTATAACTGGAGAAGGAGAGAAGGGCCTGAAAGAGTTATGCTGCATTCAACTAAAATGCATAAATCAACCTCTGACTAGGAAAAAACTCCCCTCAACTCAGTATTCCTGCTCATCAACTTGGGACGGTCTTCTCATCCCTGAGTTCAGCAAGTGATGACAAATCAACATGGCTGCTCACGGTAAACAAAGTAGCACTTCTTACCTTTAAATGAGTTATGCTGTATATACAGTACAAGTATTTGCTTTAGATCAATCAGCATACAGACATTCACTTGTTAAATCTATAATACTGACTATACAGTTCGCTGTTTTGAGGAGGTAAATATATCACTCATCACAGTTAGCTGGCTAGTTCGTCGCTAACAAAAGACAAACAATAAGGTGTCCACGGCTTTTTCTTACTTTGTAGCTCGAATGCATGAAGGTTAAAAATGACACGATTCCAAGTTCTGAATTCCCGCTTCCGAGGTATGTCGATGCAGCATTATTTTCCAGAAGGCATTACCGTCCATATAAACAAACAAACACCATTTATAAATTATAAATTCATTGTTTATTCATTGAACCATTAATAATTAAGCTTTTTTCAGAATTCTTACTAAAACGTGGTATGACTAAAATACTTACAGATCACAGCAGGACCTTGGAGTTCAATCTAAAATGCTATATATAACAAAACTATGAAGCATGTTCCTTTTAATGGACGGCAGTGCCTCCTGGAAATTGATGCTTTCAGCCCCGTTCTTTTCTTGTCTTTCACATTTTTCCACTGCTATGATTGCTTTCTATCTTAAACAGAATGGCACCGTGAAATGCAATGCAGCAGCATGGATTGATTGTGGACCACATTCACTTCTGACACAGCATTTAATTCTTAAAAAGCAATCCCCTACTAATAGTTTTTCACTTTATCAGTCTCTGGAACTGTACTGGAGGTATGAATACCATTTTTCCAAAAGATATTCCCTCAGCTGGTGTTTTGATGATGGCGATGGAGAGCACTAACACATCAGTCACCATCATTTTCATACTTAAATCATTCTGTGAGCCATTGTGCCCCATCAGGATAGAAATGTTTCAACATAGGATAAAGGTGATCAGTTAGAATAACAAACTGGAAGTTTTTTTTCTTTCTTTCTTTCTTTTTTTAACCACTATATCCCTGGGAAGCCCTGAAAAAAATGTTGCTTGGAATAAGTAATTTTTTTCATAGGACATAACTCAGTCTATGTGGAGTGTAAGTTCCTGCATCCCAGATCATTAGAAATTGCTGGTTTCTTATATAGTAGCACTGCTTGCATCAATTTACTCCATATAACAATTTCAGAATTGTTTGATGGTAGGGCTTCCACCCATCCTGTATCACTTTTCTATATAACTGTAATGTGGTCTATATAACTGTAATGAGTAATTGTAGTCTATCTCTGTATGTGCCGCCTAGTTGTACGCACACCTATCGTGCATGTAGTAAAATATGTTCTTCCTTCTGTTAAACTAAGGCTTTTGACTAAAAACTTTTCCCTGTCAGAAACTATGCATTGTAGTTCGTATCCCACTCGTGCTCCTGAGTGTGTATACATTTACACATAAGAAGATTAATTAAATAAACCTCAACTTGATCAACTTCAAATCATATAATTTGCATTGATTACTGCACTTTTATATGTGGAATATGCTGCTGAGTTTAAATTGCTTATTTTTATTATGTTTACAGCATTTAGCAGTCTCATCCAGAGCGACTTATATAAGTGATTTGGAGTCTTTATCAAAAGCACATCCTCATGTTAGTTCATTAGGACAGGGACTAAGAGTACTAAAGAGAAAATTTTGTGAAAAACTGTCGTTTTATATTATTGGCATTAATTAAAGAAAGTGAAAAATAAAGAAAGTGAGCCAACACAAACCCATAAATTAAGACAAATAAAATGAATCATTCATTATTAAATATTTTTATTGGCATAGTAGTGAGTCAAAATAGCTTCCATTTCTGCCTTTCAGCCTTAACCCTGATCATTCATTCCATGCTCCCAGATGTCTGTGCACTTTTGTGGAGTTTTGTGGGCATCACTACATGCAAATGAGTTGCTTCAGGAACATGACTTGCGTGTTACAGGTGATCATATGCATGCGAGTACAAAGAAAATCAGCCTTTCTGAAACTTTTGTAAATCTGGCGGAAAATTTTAGTTTGGTTTGGCTTATGCAAACTTTTACACACAACTTTACTAACAGATTGATAAATGGGGCCTATTCTCTATTAAAAGAATAATTAATTGACTAGCATTCAAGTGGGACATCATAACGCATGCCACATGTATGCTGCTTAAAATTCTATGTACTGTAACTACCCTGCTGACAACACCAATGTAAACTCCGAGATAAAACTGTATTTACAAAGTTGAAAAAACAGAACAGATGGACCTGATTAAGGCTAACTGTCTTGCCCAAATTGTCCATAAACATTAACGCATCCAGCTGTCAGTGGTTGTTGAAAATCATGTCCTTATAGTCAGGAGGAGACTCGATCCTTCAGAGGAAGGATCATTGATATCGAGGGGGTTGTTTCATTGCTTACAAGAGTTATTTTTGTCTTAAGGGGTATTGTCTTAAATGATCTCTTTTGCCAGTTTCATTTCACTGCCATTCCAGATGACACTGTCCTTGACATTCTTTTTCACATTCTTCTCAGAGTAGATGGCAGGCTGATGTTCCTGGTAATCAAGTTATCACATCATGAGCATGCTTATGAATGGGTAAAATGACATCTCCTGCTTCGATTTTGGGACATGGCACCACCATTCTTATCCAGGAAGCTTGATTGATGTTTGATTTGCATTTCTGCCTGTTCAAAATATGGGCAAATATTCAGCATGGAGCCCAAGTTCAGCAGTTTCTTTGATTGCATCCACAGCATTCTCAACTCAGGTACAATAAGATAACATTAAGCTAATCACCGCAACAAGTTGTGGTATCCTGTTACTTTCCAGTACTCCCACATGTCTTGTCATAGAACTCAGGCATAACCTTTTTATGAAGTGCCAACAAGGGAGTACACTACCAGGCTCAGTAGTGTTAATCATCCAAAATCCCTGTAATCCTGTATACTTGACAGCAGATAAAAGCTGCGTGTCTGTAAACACTAACGAGACAAGGTTTAAAACTACAACTGAAGGAATTCATATTTTCTATTAGCGTAGACTTCAAGACTCATGGTTCAGTAGAAATATACTAGGCATGTCAGTGATGTGGCAATCCTCTTTTTATCCGCTGAAGCTCAAATTCTGGGCCTTGGTCTCCAGGGCTGCAACTGGACCCAAATTGAAGGATCAAGTGCTCAGCATGATGTATTGCTGTTTGGTAGCTAGCTATGAAAGTGGTTACAGTACATAACTATTACTATTAACTATTAACTATTAGCACTATTAACATAAATATGATTAGATTCTGTTTATAATTGACTACCGCATTCTGGATGTATACATTCTTGGCCACAGTAAACAATAAAAACAAGGCTGTAAATGATTTACAGCATTTGGCAGACACCTTTATCCAGAGCAACCTACATTTATCTCCTTTATATATCAGAACAGTTGAGGGTTAAGGGCCCAACAGTGGCAGCAGCTTGGCAATGCTGGGGTTTGAACTCATGAACCTTCTGATTAGTAGCCCAAAAGCTGAACCACTGAGCTACCACTGCCTCTGTCTTTTCCTAAGTGAGTTTTTCTAAAGATAGAGTCAACTGTAATTCTTTATGCCTGGTGGTTGACATTTTCCATAAAGGTTCAAAGCTACTTTCCTAAAGCAGAACCAAGACTTTGACATCCAGTGGACATTCATTTAATTATCCAGTCAGCCAATCACGTATAAGCCGTGCTATGTATAAAATCAAAGAGATACAGGTCAAGAGCTTCAGTTAATGTTCATATCAACCATCAGAATAGGGAAAAAATATCATCTCAGTGATTTTGACTGTGGTATGGTTGTTGGTGCTAGCTGGGCTGGTTTGAGTATTTCAGAAACTGCTGATCTCCTGGGATTTCCACGCACAACAGTCTCTAGAGTTTACACAGAATGGTGCGAAAAACAAAATGAGTCCCAGTTCTGTGGGCCAGTTCTGAGAGAGGTCAGAGGAGAATGGCCAGTTCGAGCAAATAACCACTCTTTACAACTGTGGTGAGCAGAAAAGCATCTCTGAATACATAACACTTGAAACCTTGAGGCAGATGGGTTATAACAGCAGAAGACCACATTGGGCTTCGTTCCTGTCAGCCAAGAAGAGGAATCGTCCTATCTGAGTATTATTGCTGACCACATGCATCCATTTAGAGCCACAATTTTCCCATCATATAATGGCTACTTTCAGCATGATAATGTGCCATGTCACAAAGCACAAGTTGTCTCAAACTGGTTCCATGAACATGATAATGAGATCAGTGTACTTCAGTGGCCTCCCCAGTCACCAATACAGCACCACTGGGATGCGGTAGAAAGGGAGGTTCACAGAATGAATGTGCAGTTGACAAATCTGCAGCCATTATGTGATGCACTCATGTCAACATGGACCAGAATCTCAAAGAAAGTTTCAAACACCTTGCCACAAGAAAACTGAGGCTGTTCTGAGAGCATGGGGGTCCTACTCACTATTAATATGGTGTTCCAAATAAAGTATACTATACATGAAAGGTATGTGGATGGCACGAAGAATCGGGAAGTAGCGCTGCTGCCTTACAGTACCAGGGTGCTCCATTTGATCCTGAGCTTGGGTTACTGTCTGTGTCTGAGTTTTGCATGTTCTCCCCATGTCTGGGTGAGTTTTCTCCAGGTTCTCCGGTCTTCTCACACCTCCCAAAAACATGGCATTAGGTGCACTGGCTATAGTAAATTGC